ACAGCTCACCCATCTCCCCCTGCTGCATCCCAGAACCAGCCCAAAGCCTTGCTCCCTCCCTCAGCCTGGCTTTGTTCCAGGCTCCACTTAGCATCAATTATTCAGCACTGACTTGCTGCTGTTTTGCAGAGGCACATAGCAGGGTTGCTGAGCTCTTAGCCGTTGTGGGTGGTGGGCAGGGAGGAGGATGAGGAGCACAGCCGTGGCTCGGAAGAGAGCCAGCGAGCGACAGGATGAGACGTGGTCTGCCTGCCCCAGCTCCTGGCACTGATGGTTTTGCTGTTGATGAGCCAGGAAGGACAGGAGCCATAGGAGGCTGCCAGGACACCAGAGGTGAGCACAGCTTGTGATGCCTGTGGGTCTCTGTTGAGTGGTTTCTGTGCAGGGACCAGCACAGGGACCAGGGAGCCAGAGAGCTGGTGTTAGGACTTGTCAGAAAGCTATGAGGAGCAACGGCTCCAACAGGTAAAGGAAGGGTTTAGTGGGAATACTAGTAAATGCTAAGCTCAGAGAGGCAGCAGGAGGACCTGGCTGACAAGGCCAGTTGGATTTAAGCAGCCTCTACAGAGTTCCATCTGCTGTACAGCTGTACAGCAAGTGGGTGAGTGGTAAGCTTGGGCTTAGAATCATAGAATAGTTAGGGTTGGAAAGGACCTTAAGATCATCAAGTTCCAAGCCCCCTGCCATGGGCAGGGACACCTCACACTAAACCATATCACCCAAGGCCTCATCCAACCTGGCCTTGAACACCACCAGGGATGGAGCATTCACAACCTCCCTGGGCAACCCATTCCAGTGCCTCACCACCCTAACAGGAAAGAATTTCCTCCTTATATCCAATCTAAACTTCCCCTGTTTAAGTTTTAACCCATTACCCCTTGTCCTATCACTACAGTCCCTAATGAACAGTCCCTTCCCAGCATCCCTATAGGCCCCCTTCAGATACTGGAAGTCTGCTATGAGGTCTCCACGCAGCCTTCTCTTCTCCAGGCTGAATAGTCCCAACTTTCTCAGCCTATCTTCATATGGGAGGTGCTCCAGTTCCCTGATCATCCTCGTGGCCCTCCTCTGGACTTGTTCCAACAGTTTCATGTCCTTTTTATGTTGAGGACACCAGCACTGCACACAATACCCCAGGTGAGGTCTCATGAGAGCAGAATAAAGGGGCAGGATCACCTCCTTCGACCTGCTGGTCATGCTCCTTTTGATGCAGCCCAGGATACAGTTGGCTTTCTGGGCTAGAAATACACAGCTATCCTGTTCTTGGTCCCCTATGAGCAGTAAATTATTATTTGATGGTCTTGATGGGGTGATGCATAGGGATGCCACATTCCCTGCACTGCCCTTCAGTCCTAGGGTGGCATGTAGCTAACTGTGGCCCATCCCTTTTGCTGTCAGTCTTTCTGGTAGAGACAAATGACCCTGTGTTTACTGTAACCATGTTGTTTAAGTACCAAATGGCACCTTTCTCACAGGGGAAACCATAATACTGCCCAAATTTAACATCCCAAAGACAACAGTACCATGTTTTTCCAATAACAGGCCGTTAAACTTAGGATGTGCCAGAGGTACTGCTCACACAGCCTGTTAAAATACATTTTCAGGTGTGAGCAGCACCACCTTAGGGTACCAGTAACTGGTGGACACATGACTCAGTCCTGACTCACACCTTGCCACTGGAGTTGCACCCGCCTGCCTTGCAAGGAGCTGTGGCTGCCGGCTCTGTCCCATCCCACCCTCCAGCGCTGCCTACAGGCAGGAAAACAAACTCCAACCCCAAAATATCATCCAAATGGGAGAGCTGCCACTGGCCTGTGCTGGGATGGATGTGCAGGCAGTAGGGCCAGCATGCTGCCCTTGGCTCAGTGAGCTGGGAGGGGACAGCAGGATGCAGGAAGAAAGTTTTCTTTCTGCTGATGCTGATGCTGGGATTGAACCTGGGCAGAAAAGCTGGGGAGGAAGGTGGGGATGGAGTAGGTTGGACCCACCGCAGCTGAAGCATGCCTGGTGAACCAAGCCAAAAGCCAGCAGGAGAAGGCAGCTGGTCTGCTGTAGCATCTGTCGCCGCAAGAAACCTCATGCAGTCTGATTTTATGCTAAACACCTTTAACTGTTATAATTACAACCATGTAAAACACAGCATCAAATACTCTGGACAGTCTGTGTGGATCGGTGTAAAAAGGAATGATTGGCTTCCCCCCCCCCCAAAAAAAAAAACAAACCCACGCCTTCCTTACAAAAGAAACCCACCAAAAAATAACAAAAGAAAAAAATTTGTTGGTTGTTTTTTTTAAGTAATAATTATAATACATTAGAAAGAGTCACGGAGGAAGCGTTCCACGCTGTAAACAAAAATAGCAATTAAAAAGAAAAGCAGATGGTAGCCAGGCTCTTCAAGGCCATGGCCAAGAGACCTCACCTCAACCACCATCCTGTGCTGGAGCTGATCCCCAGCGCCAGTTCCCGTGGCTCCTGCTGCCCACTGGTGCCACAGCCACTCAAAGTGCTCAATTACAGAAAAACCCCAAAACAAACAAGAACAAACCCCAAACCCACAACATTGGTCTTTAAAACTACATAGAGGGCTGGAGGGCAAGGATGGGGAGAGTGGGGAAGCTGTTTTCCTGAGTTTGCTCACGGTAAGAGAGGCTTTTGTTAAGGGGCTGAGGCTGCTGTAGGAGACTGGGGCAGGGGTGTGAGTGGCTTGGGCCAGTTATTTGCTCTGCTGAGCTGCCATCCTTGCCCTTCTTCCCTTCTTATCTCCAGCGAACGCACTGAGGCTGGACCATGTCCTGCCCATCCCTGGTGCCACAGACGTGCCACGGACGCACCTTCATCTGCAGCAAGAAGCAGAGAAGGAGCCAGGATCTCCTGTCAGTTATGCTCTGATATGCTGAAGTGAGAGCATCATTCCAAGGAAACTAATGCATGTTGCTGGCTCCCAGGAACTCTTCCCAAACCTGCCAGCTTTCAGGGGCTGCAGGCTGGAGAAGAGCTGACAGACCTTCCCAGCAAGAAGCACACTATAGTGGGAAGCAGGAGCCTGTAGCTGCCTGGTCCAGAGGCCATTGCAACCAGCTGGTGGCTTCCCTCAGGCTTGGAGGTGAGCAAGGACCTCCCTGCTCATTCCATTAGGATTTGGAGGGGAGGAACCCTCTCAAACTCTTGTTGAACACCATGCTATGGGTACTGTGCATTTGACAGCTCTCCAAAACTAGAACAAACCACCTTTTTAAATATGAATACTGCAAAACATCCCAGACACGCACTGGGTTTAGGAGCCCAAGTGCACGTGCAACACTATGTGCAAAGGCTGTGTGCCCAAAATGAGGGGGAATAAGTCAAAATGAGGGGAAAAAGACGTCTCAGCTCTTGCAAATGAGCAAAATGCTCAAATGTCTTAGCAGGAGTCCTGCGTGTGCTTCAGAGAGATGCCAGAAACCCCCCAAGCTACAGAAACCAGGCCAAGAGCTGACCCCCCATCCTCGGATGCTTCTTGTTGCTTCCCAACATGCTCCAACAGCCAGTGGGCTGCTAGCAAAGGGCAATCGATACCGGTCTTGAAATACTACCCAGGTATTTTAACACACAAACGTGTTTAACTACTGCATGGTTACTGAAAAACATACTCTAAATTAAAAGCAGTTCAAGCACCATTGTCCTAGAAAGGACCCATGGTGTCCCAAAACACAAATGTTGAACATTCCTAACCACTTCTCCTCAAAGAGCAAGTGCTGACTCCTCACAACTCTCCTGTGAGGTAGCTAATAGGGTTATCCCTGCTTTGCAGAAGGCAAAAAGATGGGCAAGGTTGGAGACTCGGCAGAAGACGGGGTCTCTTGACAGAGCAGGGGTTTAACAGAAGCTGAGGGTGCTGTGTCTGGCTGGTTACAGCCAAAGGTAGGGTGCTCCTTTCAATGCTACCCCTGCTGCTAATAAAAAATGCCCCCTAAACTGATAAACCCCACAAAGTAATTTAATGGCAGTTTTGTGCAGGGCTTCCAGGTAGGCTTCAGGTCAGGCTATGTTACTGAAGCAGCCTGTGAGATAAAAAGGTTTTCAAAGTCTCAGAACTTAAAGGAGCCCAACATCTCCATTGAAGGGATGGGAATCACACCTGCAGTCCCACCTAAGCAGACATCTGTAGCCACTCCTTCTGGACAGCAGAGTCAAATACTGCATACCTGGACTAGTTTACTTCCTACTGCTTCCATTTAACTTCCTTAAGTAGATAATGGGAACAGGAATTTGGAGCAGCTCTTTCAGTGGGGTGAGCTTGGGTTCCTGTACACCTCCAGCCAATGGTCTGGGCTGTCCAGCAGCCCCTGGGATTGGGAGGGGATGGACAGGCCACTAGGACTTGGTACATGAAGGGCAAGTGGTATGGGAGGCACCCATCCCGTTATCTCCTCAGCAACAGGCTGTGGAGATATTGATGCTCTACATCATCATCTTCCAAACTTCTGTGCCCAGATTTCCTTCCTTGGTAGTTAATTGCCGGGTGGACTAAACCAGAAGTGCTGGTATCAGGTTGTGGGCAATGTGTTCCCCCTCCCCAGCACCTATTCCATTTCCACCCTCTTAACTTGCGTGAAGTAAAAGTTAAAAGCAGACTTCAGTTTCAGCACCGTGATTACACACTACCACACCTCCAGAAGCTTGCTAATGAAGGCAGGTTTCCCAAGGCAATAGCCCCTTTTCCTCAAGCGTGCTCCCCCCTCTGGACCTGAGTAGGAAAGGCAGCAGAAAGGCCATTCAGCCCAAGAGCCGAGGCTCAACCTTCACTGTCCTTGTCACCTTGAAAACTTAGGAAAGAATTGTCCTGCTGACAGTCCTCCACCAGGGTCACACCAAGGAGACCACCCAGGGACTTACCTGCTGTTAAACCTCCCCTCCAGGACACCATCCACCACTGCAGCTGGAGCCAGTTACAGCTGGGCTGTGGAATTGCATAGAGTAGGCAGGGGGGTGCCTGTGTCCTGCTAGGACATCATGGTCCTGCCTGGACACCATGGTCCTGCCTGAAAATGCTGTTGCCTACAACTGCAGGTCTGGGGAAAGAAGCTATTGGAAGATCTATTGCTATAAAGGCCTTTGAAAGCAATGCTGTTGGCTGTACTGATTGGGCTTTTTAAAGAAAGCATTCTGGACTCCTATGCCTTGTACCCGCTTCCGCACCATGGGTACCTGTGGCAGGCAGGAGCATAAGGGAACACACAACACATTCACCAGCCCTGCCTCTCTCCCCCCCACACAGTGAGGCTTGAGGAGCTTCAAGGAACACAAAATGAAAGCGCTGTCTAATTTGTCCATAAGAAGGATGCAAACCCAGTTTGCTTGTGCCTCCTGGTGCTGGCGGCCACTGCTCCATCTTCTCACCAGGTGCTCGTACCAAAGCACAGCTCAACAGGCGATGGCTGCTGTGCTGTCACCCTGACACAGCCCTGCTGAAGGGGGGGTTCTGAAAATGGGGCGAGCGTGCTGCTCCAGCACCTGCTTCCTGTCTCTTGCCCCCCCTTCGCACTAAAACGTCACGGATTTGGGTAGCTTCGCCAGGGAAGAAGAGCTGGAAAGGAAATTGTTCTCCGAGTGGGATTTGGCAACCCGTGGCAGTAATTTTGGTTTGGGGCTTAGGGGGGGTCGTGGGGCTTTGAGCGCATTTAATGGTTTCTGGAAGCTTTTTTGGGCATCTACCTCCTCCAGGTCCAGCATGAGAGGTGGTGGCATGGCGGTGGCAGGCAGGGGACATCCAGTCTCAGGCAGTGGCAGTGCCACCTGCTTCCTGTTTGCTACATCCTGCTCTGTTGCATGGGCCAGGTGGAGGGGAGTGGTGGTTTTGATAACAGTGTAGGGGCTGTTCCCCTCCACCATGGAGGGCAGTGCTTGCTGCAAGGGGTAGCCCTCACCCAGCCCTGCTGCCTCCACCTTGATGCTGGATAAGATGGGCACGCTGCCGCTCACCAGCCCCTGCTGCCAGTGTGTGGTGGTACTCCCTGGCCCATTCTGCTGCAGGCTGGTGAGCTCCCCCATGGATGCAGCTTTGGATGCCAAGTGCTTCAAGTCCATTTTGTCTGGTGGTGCTGCTCTGCAGCATTTCTCAGCTGTCTCCTCAGGGTGCTCATTTTCAGGGGAACTGTCACGCTGAGACTCACTGGAGAGATGCTGTGAGCCACCCAGCAGAGAATGATAGGGTGCCTCCAGCACTTTCTCTCTGCAGAAGGAAGATGTCTGTTCTCCCTCCGGCAGGGCAGGAGGATTTGGCTGCCATACAGCATGGTCCGTAGCAGAAAACTCAGTGGTGCTGGAGTCGGGAGGATTCGATGTGTTTTGGAGAGAGGAGTCTGAGGAGCCGACCTCAGCAGGGGTGGGGAGGGAAACCAACTCATGGTCCACTGTGGCACACACGGGAGTGAGAGGAGTATGCTCCAGAGGCAGGGCTGTGGGCAAGAGGTGATGATGGGCCTGCATCTCACTTGCCTTCAAAAGAGCCTGTGTCTGTCCGTCCCCCGTGGGCTCCACCTGACTCTCCTCTCCCAGTGACCCCCCGCCAGAAGGATCCAAGTGGATGTCTGTCACTTCAGCTGCTTCACTGCCTTGGTGGGTGGCAGTCCTCACCTCTGCCACCATCTCTCCTGGAGCCTCGGGAGCTCTGTGGGGATGCGGTTCCCTGTCCACAGGATGCTCGCCCACCCGGCCATTCTGGCCATTGGCTGCCACGTTGCCCTTCATGGGTACTGGGTTGAGGGAGAGTTCTAGACCCAGGGGTTTCCGTGGGAACTCCTCAGGCTTTGCTGCATCAGATGCAAGAGAAGATAAAATAAAACCCAAATTATGCATCAGTTCATTTTTGCACCTGTCATGCCCTGGCTGCGGGGGAGGCAGTGCACATAGTGGATGCCAGCCCTTCTGAGCTGCCCCAGCTCCCAGAGCATCACACCAGAGGAGTGCTCTGGTGCTCAAGGGACACAGGTACCACCAACCATTGCCCCTGGGTTGCCCACCTTTCCCTGCTACCCACCTGGCGGGGGGAGGTCACATTTCATCTTGCGCAGTTCAGTCATGGACACCTGCAGTTGCTCGATGACTGCATCATCCTCGTACTGCAGGGAAGAGGCGATTTTCTCCTGCAGAAACTCCCGTAAGTCTTCCAGCGTCATCTTCAGCAAGCGTTCTGGGGGCAGCAGACAGGAGGAATGGCAGTGGCATGGGCAAAGAGTGGGCTGCAGTGCTTTGGTTTTATCTGGGATTCTGCTGCTGTTCCCACTACGAGGTGGGACAGCTGGAACGTTTCTGCCTCTCTCCTACCTTCCCGCTGTTACTCAGGATTGCCGACATTTACACACCTGTGCCACTTCTGGGCAGTAGCTCAGCAATGGCTGGGACCTATGCTGACCAGCGTGCACATTTTAGGCCATTTCTGCCAGTTCTCAGCAATACCTCTAGGAGGAGGAAAAGCTCCATGAGATAGACCCGGAGCATCAGACTGAACAGCCACCAGGCAGGGATGCAGGCAGAGATGCTGAACTACTTCAGATGCAGCAAGGGATGGGATGCAGGCAGGGATGCCAATCCACATCACACATTCCTTAGGAAGGAGAGATTATTTCTCTCCTTCTGCCTGCATGGTAGTTTCCCAGTCTTTGCAAACAAATGGGATACTTGAAGATGTATTATTTCTTGATAGCTTGTTATTCACTCAACTGAAGAAAGAGCAGGATGGGTGTTTGCAGAAGCCAACACATGCAGTCGCATAGATCACTGGCCCAAAGATTTCTAGCATGTATCAGCATCTCTCCTGTCCCAGATTAAAGATCTAACAAGGTGAAAAAGCAAGACTGCTAGCTTATGGGAGCAGAGGGGTTCAAAGTCCCAAAGATCTCTATGTAGAAACATCACAATCTTAATGTTATGTAAGAAAACCAGGTTTTGGTCATTTTAGAAGCATATTAAATGGATTTATTTCTCCCTTTACAGCCTTTTCAGCTGAACTGCCACAGAGCTTTGCAGACAGATGGGTTTTTGTCTGTATTGTCCCTAAACCCATGGTAATAAAAGGTGTGGGGCGCAGCATGCAGAAAGAGGCAGCTGGGAGTGTTTCAGCTGGGGTTTGCTGTGCATGAAGCACAGCATTTCAACCCCTGTGGCAACTCATTTCCTCCCCAGAGCATCATCATGGGACTGTCCTTTTTTGTGGCCAGCACAGGGCACCAAACAAGCTCGTAGTGGCCAGCAAGGCTTTCTGGGTCAACAGCATAAGGGTGGCCTAGCACAGAGCCACTTCTGCCATATGAGACGCACTCTGCTAGGACCTTACTTTTGTGCAGTTTGAGTATGGTGTAAGCCATGGCCGTCAGCACCCTCTCTCCTTCTAGGATGTAGATATCCCACAGCCGCAAGGTGAGGGTGAACGGGGTCTGTTTCAAACATAAAACCAGTTCATTAGCATCACACATGTTAGCACTGATTGACTGAACGATTGTAGAGAGGTTGCTGGCATCACTATGTCTCCTTGCACCAAAACACACAGCAGGGCAAGGCACTGGATGACCAGGATTCACCTGCAACACAAAAACCTCTTTCATCAGCTATGGTTTTGCCTTGAAGCCAATACCCTTGGGTGGCTGGAAAGGTACTTACAATCCATCCACGAATGCAGAAAAAAGGAGAAAGTTTCTACACAGGCATGCTGGCACATGGGTTTGCCTACACAGCCTTGCAAGTGCACAAAGCCACTCCTGTATGCATCTATAACACCCATACAGATGAAGAGCTATTTATGGGATAGGTCTGAAGGCCCAAGTGCTTCACTGAGCATTTAAAAAAAATTAAAAATCCACTCCTTTGCTGCCTAGAGAAGTGGTCTTCCTTATATACAGGATTATTTATGCCTTCTAGACAAACCTCTGCAAGAGTCTTTCATTTGCACCCAGACCCAACCTTACAAACAGGGCTGAACTAATGATGGAGCAGCCCATCACCTCCCAACAAAGATTCAAGGCATCTACCAACACAAAAATTAATACTAGTCCCACTGTGACATCCAAGTTCAAATTCAGGATGATGTGCTTACTCTCCAGAGTCTGGCATGACCGGCCATCACAGCTCTTTTACCACATTACTGCAGTTAAGGAACTTTTGCACTTTATACAGCGTTTAGGGACAGACTGTGAACCAGTGAATTCCTTCTCAAGGGGAAAAGGTCATCCACTGTTTTACAGGAGATGGGGCAGCAGAAAACTTAGCCTGGGGACACACAGACATCATAAACATGAGCAAGCCTGGATACTGCTTTTAAGTGTGCAAGCACGAGAGTGCCCCTAAAAATAAATTAGTCTTGGCTCAGGACTGGCAAATTAGCTCTGGACAAATTAGAGCAATTTTCTCACACTTTCATGTGTCTCCAGTGCCCAGTCCGCTCCTTTGCCTGCAATTGCTGCAGTGCTATTTGTTGAGGTTTGTGCCTCCAGCTCTTCATCTCCCTATGTTGTTTCCAGGGCCAAAGTGAGGTTAATTGCCTTTGCACCAACGCCAGTGGGCAAGATCTCTCCCAAGTTTGCAGCTTATACTGCTGCTGCCGAGCCTTCTCCCAGTGACCTCTTGTGATGAGGCAGCATGAACTGGCTTGCCATCAGTGACATTCAGTTATTTTTAACTTCTCCCTTATTAAAGTTTCTGCCTTATGAGTGTGCACAATATCCCACCTTACAAAATACCAACACTTTCTTCAAATTATGATACTTTTTATAAAAACAGGCAGATTAACCATGCGTGCAAGCAGCAGGGCAGCAAACAACCCAAAAGCATCCTCACCCGGTCGATGAAACACTGCAGGAACCACTTGGTTGTGTAAATCCCTGTAGTCATCTGCTCCTTGTCCTAGGAGGAGATAGCAAAGAGAAGCAGGCGTTCCACCAGGCTGGCTGCTGAAGGTTCAAGCAACTCGCAGGGCTTTGGGGGAGGCTGGCTGGCTGCTTTATTAAAGCTGGGGTCTAGGTGCAGGATCTGTCTGCAGTCTGTCTTCCAACAAAGCCCCTGCTTCAAATACCGGTGTTGAAGCCCTGCTCTGATCCTTGATGTGGCCAGATTTCAGCCACAACTTTGGAGAGGGATTCCTAGAAGCCTTCTCTGACTTTTACCTGCTCCAGGGAATTATAAAACACTTCCACGAACCCAAACCATGCACTCCTTGCAGACTTATCTTTTTTGTTTCCATAGCAATTCCCATCTGAGCCTCTTTGAGCACCACAAAAATGATTAACCCCAAGTATTCCACAGGTAAATCCAGACCAGCAGAGTCAAGCCAGCTTTGCTAGCATGCCATGGCTGCTGCAGGAGCAGGATAGCCTGGCAGACTAAGGAAAACTTTAAAACCTCACCATCACCACCCTGGTCTATCACTTTTCCATCCCTGTCTGAGACCCAGCACAGCACCCACACACAGCTCTGCTTTTTCTGGCATAGCTGATGGCAGGGCACAGCTGGCGCTGGGATGCACAGTGCCCTGCAAGTGCATAAAGTTGATGTGACTGCTCCTGCAAAGCCAGCAAGGCAGTGAGGATGGGAAGAAAAAGAAGCTTAGGGGATTAACGCCCATCTCTGGTCTTTGCTTTGGCTAGTGTTGGGCACCTGCAAGCCTGGGGAGCCTTTTGGAAACCAGGAGGCACAAGCAGCTTTCAGAGAGTTATTTCCGTCCTCCTTGCTCATCCTCCCCAAGGGTGTAATTAGGTGAAAACCTGTCCTGACTCTGTTTCACTCTTATAGACAGGGCCAGCTCATTTGCAGCACACAGCAAGAGCTGCTGCAGATGATGGCAATATAAACAGCTTTCCCTGAAGCGGGACCTCCAAACCCCTTGGGAGCATAAGAAACCTTCAGGAGTCTGGCCACTGAATACCAACTGTCTACAGCAAATGCAAGAGGGTGGGGAAGGGGAAAAAGAAAAGGAAGCAGGTGTTGCAAAATAGTAGCCTAGACATTAAAACTGCAGTTGATGTCTCCTGCAAATGCTCTTCCAGACACCAAATGGGCTCCTACCATCTGCCAGACAGAAAAACAACTGGACATGCCCAAGCAACAAAACACACAGCAAATCTTACACCCCTCCTGCCTTTAAATAACAGCAAACCTGTTAAATGCAATCACTTGGGGCTAACAATTCTTGAATTAAGCCCAGCATCACCCTTTGGGCTTTTCATCTGGTATAAGAACATAGCCCAGCCTTGCTGCTGTACAAAACAGCTCCTTTTGCTGCAGGCTCTGTGAGCCTTCCTGCCTGGCTTTCTGAAAGAAGCTGTTAGATTTTAGCAGTTCCTACACTCATGATGACCAGCAAGCAAATGATAACCAAGATTCAGGCATCCCATTTAATAAACATTTGCCTCTTTCCAGCTGAAGCAGTCCTACAGGGTTAGAAATATGTTCAGCAGTGCATATCCCTGGCAGAACATTACACTAATTGCTCTAGCATTAAAACGAGATTATTAGCATGGGATAGCAAAAATATACCATGTGCTTCTTCAGTTTGGGAACCATCTTGCTTAAAATCTGCTCGTGGTGAGCCTGGAATCTCTGAAGCTTCGGGAACCCAGGAATGAAAAAACCTAATGAGAAAAGATAGGAGAAATAAAAAATAATCAGAAAGGCTCTGGAGTAGTAATGGGGGCAGCCTGATTTTCTAGAAACTCATCCCCTGCACTGCCAGTTGAAGTCAGCAGGACTACAGTGCACCCAGCTACCTCCCCTGCATCCCTCCAGAGCCCACCCTTCAATCCATTCCACACAGGCAACAGCACTCTCAGCACTAACCCCAGCAGAGCAGACTCACTCACCACTCCACCTGAGACTTGGCTTGGTCAAGAACTCTCTCAATGAATCTTGATGCTTACCAAGGTTCAGGGAAAAGCTGATGTTTGAACAAAAGCTTGTGCAACACTACATAATCTAGTAGGACATGCATTTAAGACTGCCTGGAGCTATACAAGCCATAAGGCTTAGCTCTCCGGTGATAAAATAACCTTCTGTGCATAGATTACTGCTAACCACAAGTAAGACAAAAGGATCTTTAATGTGTCTGAAATAATTCAGTACATTTGGTGGAATCATATCTTCATAAAAACACAGGGGTACATGGCTCTGACGTGCTAGAAACAGAGCATTACATGATGCTCTTACATGTACTTCTGTGCGACTTTAAAAACCTGCAACCTTCAGTTAACTGACTGCACTTGGGAGGGAAGACAGCACCTCTGTGAAAGCAATTACTGAGCACTAAAGCTCAGTGCTGATAAACCACATTTTTCTCTGATGAACTTGTCTGTCTCCAAGAGTGAAGTTCAGCTCCGTAATCGGGTTACATCAGCACGTAACCAAGTCTTACCCATTTTAAACAAGTATGTATGCTACTGACCAACCCAAACAGCCTTCCCTCCCACTGCAAGAGCCCCCATCTGCATCCCACCCCAGCCTTACCATGCATGGCGTGACGCTGATTGGTCAGCAGCTGTGCCAGTGCCCAAAATGCATCCTCTTCGTTTAAGTACATCAGGAGAATGGCTGCGATCTGGCTCATCCCTTGGCAGTAGCTCACTTCCTGCAAGAGCCAAAAGGGGCACACATGCTGCCATGCTGTCAGACCCCACCAGGATGCTAAACCTGCAGAAGCAGGTCAGGCTGTCTGTGTTTCCCTCTCCTCTGTCTCACTTTAAGGTCTTTATTGTTTATGCTCAGATTCACAGCTCCCATATGTCTGCAGCATCTACCATGTTAATGTCTCATAAAGTGGCTAGGGTTGGAAGGGACCTTTGAAGAACATCTAGTCCAACCCCCTGCCATGGGCAAGGACACCTTCCACTAGACCAGGTTGCTCAAAGCCCCATCCAACCTGGCCTTGAACACTGCCAGAGATGGAGCAGCCACAGCTTCTCTGGGCGACCTGTGCCAGTGCCTCACCACACTCACTGTAAAAAACGTCTTCCTTATGTCCAATCTAAACCTATCATCTTTTGGTTTAAAAATGTTGCCCCTTGCCATGTCACTAGAGGCCCTGGTAAAAAGTCTTTCCACCTTTCTTATACGACCCCCTTCTATACTGAAAGGCTAAAATAGTCTCCCCCTGGAGAGTTTTCTCTTATCCAGGCTGAACAACCCCAACTCTCATCCTTTCTCCATGTGAGAGGTGTTCTGGTACTCTTGACCATTTTGGTGCCCTTCCTCCAGACTAACTCTAGCAGGCAATGCCCCCCACCATGCCACTCCCCTCTCCAGCCCTGCTCAAGCCTGGAAGGTGAGGGACAGAAATCTCAACATAAGAGGTGCCTTCAGCTACTTCAAAGAATAGGGAATGGGATGACAAAGAGCATGTGGCTTCAATTCTGTTTGGGATTCCTTCAGCCACATGAGCACTGAAGTAATTAAAGAATAAACAAATCTGGTAAGCATTTATCTGGTATGAGGGAAGGTGGGATCTTTCTTTCCTTAACTACCCCCACTGAGCATCTTTTGTGCCTTATGGGGTAACTGTGCCCTCCTGGAGATGGAGACAGTAAGTTCAGCTGCTAATTTAGTCTCATTCTGACTGTGCCCTTCAGCTAAAAATGACTGGTTTGCTGCAATAAATTCAGTATATGGCAAGAAGTGAGAACTTGATGGACTTTCAGCCAGGAGGTTAGTCTTGCTGCAAAGCCAAAGGGCAATCCCCTTTGCTGAGACTCAACCAAAATGCATCTGCCAGACATCATTTACCAGATGACAAAATGAACTTATTGTGAAGTCTTGTGCTGCTTGTGAGTCTTGCAGCTGTCTGTACAAACCGGTATTAGGACTTAAACTTGGACTTACCACTGGCTAAGTGTGGGGGTGCACAGACATACACACACAAATAAATATACATGAATGCACATATAAAAAAATATATATAAACCTTTTTTAATATTTATATATACATATATATAAAAAGCACAACACTATTCACTTCAAAGGGACTAACTTACTACTTACGGTGTTATAGACTGAGTATGCTGATAGGACATGGAAGAGTGCCTGCTGCCTGTGGAGAAAGAAAGATATTAAAACACCTGAGCACGAGGTCTCCAAATTTATCTGTACACCAACACATAAACACAGAGAGCAAAAGCTGTGAAAACACCCAGCCAGCTGGCACTTATGCCTTTTGCAAGGAGCAGGGCTCACAGAACCAAAAAGCACCTTGATGGGCATGTGGGACGGCACCTCTTCCTTCAGGTGGGAGTTATCAGCAGACCCATGGAGTAGGGCTGAACCAGTCTGCTCCATTACCAGGTCTCCTGGAGAGACGTGCATGTACCTAAACACACTGTGTTCAACAAACCTTTGGGTTTGGAGTGGTGGTGGGATTTTAACAGACTTGCAATCAAGCAAGCATCAAGTGTTATACATCCTGGAGGAAAGCACTGACACCATTTTATTAGTAGGTTGCTTTCTCCTTTCCCTCCTTGCTGAAGGAGACATCACCATATAGCTACAGAGTGCAGCCTTTGTCCTAGACAGGTGATAAAGCCACTCTGTTAAACCTCTTCAACCCCATATGTTGTGGAAGCCAAGTCCACCCCATCCCACCCAACTCCTGAAGGACGCACCCTGTCATCCCAGCCATCCCTAACCAAGTCCTCTACAACTGCAACCCTAGCACCTTGGGGAACAAGGCACCACAACAGGCTGATGCTTGGCTCAAGAACTGAGGTTGAAAACGGTCCAGCGTGGACCTTTCCAGAGACAGAATCAGAATCCCAACATCTGTGGCTCGTATCATGTGCTGATGGTTTGTGGAGCAGGCAGAAATTGCTTTGCTCTCCTGTGAGCTACTCTGAGCCAGGGTACTGGTGGCCACCACAAGCCAGGAGGCTGCTTACTGCCCCATCCAGCTCATCCCATGCACACCCACTTGCTCTGAAGCTTCCCATACTCACTTCACTCCATAGCGATCCCGAAACATGATGTGGTTTCGGAAGGTGCGGTTAACGTCCAAATCTATCTGCTTGATTTCTGACGAAAAACTCTTTGCTTGCTCTTTCATTTGCTGGGAGAGGGGCAGACAGAAAGAAGGAGTCAGGCACCATTTCAGCCCATGTCTCTGTCCCTCCATGCAGCGAGAAGCCATGCTTCCTAGAGGAGGAGTGTGTGAGCTGCACAGAGGTATCACAGAGCCACTTGGGGATGCTGCCATCTTGCACTGAGCAACAATCTGCAGTCCAGAGGTGAACCCCCAGCCCCTCGGGTGTGCTGCTGGCTCAGTGAGAAGGGGACAACCCCACACTCACAATCCAGCCATTGCCCATCTTCCAATGCAAAGTTTTCAGAATCTAAAATAATCTTTACAATAAATTCTGCTCTCATTTATTTGATTTCTTTGTGGTACCCAGTCTGGCTGCCTTAAAGCATTAAGACCTCTGCTGGTGCTTAAGGAATGATACACTGCTTTAAGGAACCAACACAGATGTATGCACCAAGTCCCTGAACTTTTCAGAGGCTCAGCTATAATAAAATCTAAACTGTTATGATGGGCTCTATGAAGTGCTTTCCAACTGCAGAATAGAATCCTCTTAGGGTTAAGAAGCTTCCCCTAGGAAAGTAGTTTTGGGGTATTCTCTTGGACTGGTGCAAATGGTAAGTAAGAGTCCAGAACAGAAGCTAAACTCAAAGCCAAGAATCCCCATGTTCCCTGTGATGCTGACTAATCATTTAAGGAAGCATCACAGAGATAAAGGACTGAAGTCCACTGCAAAAAAAGGAAATTCAAACCAAAGCTAAGCCCATTTCAACCAACTGCACCCTTAGTGTCCCAAGTTGAAGATGATCCATGGACAAATCCTGCTGCAGTCTCATTTGTAACCCACTGCTCAGCCCTGCACATGCAGGCAAGGACCATTTTGCTATTATCAAGCATCTCATCTCACAGCCTTTAGATAACACTGGTGATTATGCCCCCTTTTAATATCTCTCCAGGGTCACTATACCTCCTCCAAGTTAGCTGCATTAATAAAATACATTTTGTGACTGTCTTCAGGCAGCCTGAGATCCACCAGCAGGATGGGGGCAGCAGAGATGAGCATCAAGCCCAGCTTGCCTTGAGCCCAGGATCAGGACCCATCCTTGCTCACACAGGAGACAGAAAATAGCACATCTGCATAGATACTTAATCATCTGTTCCAGCAGCTACCGCCCTTGCTTGTCAGCCTGATACAGAGTGCTTCCAGGCTGCTGTTGACCTCCCAGGATGACCACATCAGCTCTGGGGAACATCAAAAGGTCATTAGTACCCAGATGTATCCAGTACAGCCAACACGGGGCAGCCACAGCATCTTGGGAATATTAACTCCAGCCCTGAAAGCAGCTGTATGGATGAGCAACAGTGCACAGACTACTTTGAATTATTGCCTGCACAAGACAAGGGAGGATAAAAGTGACAATGAAATGAAGATTTTATTAACAACATCACTTCCCTGATGTAAATCCCATGCTCTCTGCATCTTACAGCTCCCTGCTCTCTATAAAGCAGGCAGAATACCTGAGACAAGATGACTATTCATATGCACTGCATCACTTCAATTCAAATTTCCCTGCTAAAGGCCCTCTTGTTTTGCCTGCCAAAGCAACACAGAAACCTCCCAAAGATTGTAAAAAAAATCCTACTCTGGGCCTTTTTTAAATCAGTGCACCTCAATAGCAGTGATTCTGAATAGCTGAATTGCAGGTAGGTTGCACTTTGTCATCTCCATACACCCAGAACGCTTGTTTACCATTCTGCAGACGATAAACAAGAAGCCCAGGATGGGTTGTTCTCCTTTTTTTCCCCTTAAGTAACCTGGGGACTCTACAGATCCTCTGCTGAGCTCATTAGGGCTGCAAGCTGGTGGCACAGCACAGGCTGGGAAGCTGGAGGTGCCATCCCAGAGACTTTTTATAAAGCAGCAGATAGCCAGGATGCCTCTGCTCTGCCCCATGGCCAGCATATTACTCCTGCCATCTTCCCAGCTATCCTCAAGCCCTCTCAGTTGTGGCTATACAACCTAGGGAGGCAGAACATCACATCCACATTAAAACCAAGTGTGGCACGTCCCATAGTAGCCTCCAGGCTCCTGAAGCATCAGGGACAACTGAGCCGCCATGGCTTTGAGGAAGACTTGGAGACTTGCATGGAGAGGACTTGGAGGACAGCTGGGAAAAGATGCACTGTGGAAGCAACTGGAGCTGGCTTTTTAATTGCATCACTCTAGAGGCAGCATGGTCACAGAGGGCAAGGTATCCCACGTGGCTGGAAAAGTAGCTCCTCCGCCAGCCCAAGCGCAGGGGACAATATCTCTGCAGTGGGGAGCATAAAAAAAGATAAAACACCCGGTGTGTGCCAGGTGGCACACTCAAAACTGCAGGAGCATGCAGAAGTCAGGCTTTTGTGCCACGGTTCACAGCCAAAGAGAAAGGGAGTGACCTTGGGACCAGCCCCTCCAGGACACAGAGCTGGAACTGACACTTAGTCCCTTCCTGAAAGCAAACCTCCTCATCCAGGACCTGCACTAAGCCTCTTCTGGAGGAAATTCGGGAAGAGCTAATTACTGATAGCAGGTGGCATCAAAGAAGTAGATTAAGATGAGCTTGTAGGGGGTTTGCTTCCAGCAAAGCCTATTAGGCTTGAAGCTCCTGTTTATTACAGACCCCTCCGGAGCACAGATAAACTCCTTATGACTTTCATTTGTTTGGACTTATTGCTGCCTGCACAGCACAGCTTCAAGGGAGGGACCACGATAAGAATCTGCATGCTGGGAGAGCTTTCTTATCTCTGCTTATTACCGTAAGCCCAGCGCACCTTCGCCAAGCCCCTGGCACATGACTCCCCCCAAGTGGCATCTCGCTATTAACATCTATGCTTGACTAACTATAATTAACGTTAGCATCATCCTGCTTAATAGGCAGGGATTTTTAGGAACACCTGCAGGAAAGTAGCACTCAGCCTCCTGCCTCTGACAGGCAAATGGCTCCACAACAGCCTTATCTTCGCTTGGATACCTGGTGCAAGCTAAATAGTAACACAAGTTTGGAAAATAAGTTAATTATCAACCAAGGGGTTCCACACACTGCCTATGGAAAAAGGCAGAGTAAAGGAGCTGATATGCTCCCCCCAAAATAGCAAAATACAGGAAGTCCCATCATTCAAGTTCTTGTTCAATACACACTACAGAAATTGCTTCTTTTGTACCAAGGAATCTAAGCCTACAGCATGCAGTGCTCTGGTAGGAAGCAATGCAAGGCAGGCTTTTATCCTATCTGCAGAGAAAATAAGTGATTTTTAATAGAAAAATTATTTCTATTTGATTTTAAGAGTGATTTTTAATAGAAACTTTCAAGACACTTATGAAAATATTGAAGATAGAAGATAAACCATTTCAATCCAAGTTCTTCCAATGCTGCCAGCTAACTTCCAGCTGCACACCTAAATTGTAAGCCAGGACCCTGTGCTCAGTAATCCCCCTCCAAAGCTTGCAAGACCCGCCCTTACCCAACCCTTAATAGGGTTTCTTGACTGATGCCCCATTGCCAGCTGGTTTAAGGCTTTTGGCCTTTCTGCCCATTTCAAAATGCCCCAAGTGAAGGTTTCAAGCACACGGAGCAGTTTGGGTACCTCCGTCCAGCACCTACCCACTTCAGAGTACTTGTGGCTACTCCACAGTTCCCCAAGATCCCTGGAGTGATATGAGCCGTTCCTTTCCTAATCTTCCCCTCCCTTTTCCCTGCGGATGTAGTAACACTGACAGCAGCTTTGCTCACAACTAGCAGCAGAATAAATGGAAGCAGCATATTAGGGAAAGCAGCAGCTTAATATACACATGTGGTTAAAACGTTTATACCCTTTGCATTTTCAGTCGTCACTAATTTTAAACCTTTCCTTCTCAAGGTCGCAGCAGTTCACAGATGGATCAGGCCCCACCACCAGCACACAGTGTACATTGCTCAACACGCTGCTGCTGTGTGAAGGAGGGTGCAAGGGCTGGGTGTTCCCCAAACGGTACCTGTAGGAAATCCCATTTCCCTCCTGCCCGTGCAAGTGGAGATGGAGATGCCTGCATCCACCATGGGTCCCACTTGCCCCTGCTGGTGAAGTGCCACCAAACCAGCCTCCCCATCACCTTGCTCCCATTTTTTTTTGCCAGTAATAGCCCGTACCTCATATTTTCCCTCGTTCTCCTTCTTCATCTTCTCAACATCCAGCAGAAGTGACCAGACCTGGCCTCGCACCTGAAGTGGGATCCCTTTGTACACTCGCCGGCACATCTGTGCAGAGGGAAACATGCAAGATTAGGTGGTCCTGCTGATGGCCAAACACATTTACTCCTTGGTTTGCTGCTACAGACCATCAGCCATCTGAGGGGACATCCCAACCAATCACTTCCTCTGATTGCACTGGTGCAAAGAGGGCCTCTCCAACCTAACAGATGAGCTGAGCACCTGCATCCAAAGATACCTACTCAGTCAAAATCAAGCCACGTCTTACACTTTTAACCTTACTGGAAGAGCTGGAAACAGACCACCCCATATATACGTGGAGACATCTCAGGTGCTTCACCGTGATCATATTCTGTGCACACCAGCATGCACCCAGACTCCTTCCCAAAGACCAGACACAGCACCCTTGGCTTTGAAACTTTTGATTTGAGCTTCCATGGCTGTTGGCACCTGGATCCTCAGTGACTGGGGAAAAAAAATACATTTCTCTTTGGAAAGGAGAGCCCTTATGACAGCCACAAGGATGAGTCTACAGCAACTCTCACAGCTTGACAAGCAACAAGGAGACTGTCGGCTACACCAAGGGCACTCCCCGGAACGTGCAGGGTACTCTTCAGACCAGGAGGGGGGATTAGGGACAAACATGCATGCGTCCCCTTCTCCTGCCTCCACATATTCACTTCATCTCACAGATGCCTCTGTCCTTTTTTCTTGCCATAAAGCCCTCTCTCTCTCTAAATAGACCATTAAACTTCCAAAGGGAAACAGAAAAAAGAGCTTTTGTTCCATCCCTGACTTCTCCCATTAAAAGAAAAAGCTTCATAAAAAAAAGAAAAAAGCCTTATTTCTGAATACTCTCCACTCTTTCATTCATCCTACCCACGAAATGCCTTGCAGCTGCACTATAAAGCCAACTGTGGCACCCCAGGTTCCTGAGGACCTGGAAGTATGCTGAAGTCCCTGCTGCACATGCCCAAGCTCCAGCTGTGGAGGAGATTTACATTGCAACATGGTGATCCACAGGACTAGACAACTCATTGAGAGGGGACAGAGGATTCATGGGAATGAGCTTGGGCTTGAGCAGGGCAGTGCCCAACCAGGCAATCAGCTGGCTTGGCATTGCCCTGGTACAAATGCAATCAACCTGCTCCCACATCCCTCCTTTTTTCCTTTAGGGTGCTCTATTTTATGCACTTCAGGCTGATGCAAGAGAAGGGCTGCAACTTATAAGGAAGCATCAAGATCCTAGCAGAAGATCCTCTGGACATAGTACTGTGCTCTCAACCCACCTAGGCTCAGAGCCTCTGAGAGCACAGACCCATGCACACACCCATGCTCCTTGTTCTGCAATGCACCTAACCGATTGAAAGACACCAATGACAGCTCTTGTCTCACAGGTTTAGTATGAGATAAGACAGGGGGTAGGGTTCAAATAGATAGGATGGGGACAGCAAAGAAATAACACCACCATCCCAGTCAAAATAAATATATAACTTAGCTATGCAATAAATGCCAAGACCACCATGTAGTTCTAGAAGAGTTAAATGTGTGCTAGAACACCTTTCCACCCCATTATGGTAAATATTTCAATATTTCTGCTGACACAGAAAGCGTCAGTATAATGTATCCTGATTGTGTGAGTGTAAAGAACATTTAACATTTAAACCATCATTCTCAGCACTTGCTAAATGCTTGCTCTGCCCCAGGTGTTGCTTAGCACCTGCTTTGAAGGTCCAGTGCATACCCAGGACCATACCCTATGGAAATCCTTTGCCAAATGCTGCCCTCCCCTCTGTATACACCAAATAAGAGCTGCCCACTAAAAAGCATCTCATTACTATGATGTGCCCATGGAACGCTACCATTTTATTCAACAGCACCTCATGTTTTAAGTGGGACATCACTTATTCACTGTATGCACACCCAGGGGAGTCACTCCTGCTCATCCAAGCTCACACAAGGAGGTGTTTCTGCAGGATAGCAAACCTTCATGCCATGCAGAAGAGTTTCATTCCCATGGCTGAAAGACCAAGAGACAAACAAAAGATTCCCATTCCCTGATGTCCCATTCACCAAATCAGGGAGAAGTAAATGCAATGCATCAGGAGACACAAAGCAACTGGGCTATATGAAACACATACTCAAAGCAGTAATGGTAAGGTGCCCACAAAAACCTGGCTCCTGCAAGTGCTTGTGACTTTGTGAAGCAAAAGCTGAGATGGGATCGAGAAAGTGGAATATGTACCAACTCAGATATGAACACCGATTCAGAAGGAAATTCTTTATTTCCAGTGCATTATGAGAAGCCAACTGACAGCTGCCAAGGTAGAAGATGATGCTCAGCTCTGTAGGAAGAAAACAATCATGGTTTGAACCCCAGAGCTGGTATTGTTTTTTAATGAGTGCAATCCTCACTGCCATATAATGAATGTCTCCAATGATATTCCCCACAAGTGTGGCAGGAACAAGGAAGACACAGAACATGCCAAGATGAAACTGAACTGAAATGCCTCCCTGTTATTTATCCAGGGGCTTTCCTCCTCTCACCACCTCCAGACGTGAAAGTGATAAAACCTCAGAGCTGTTAGTCATGTGGAGGAAAAATGAGCAATTTTCCTTCATCATGAAACTTGAAGGGAAACAGGGAAGTTATCATTAAAAGCCACATTTACGCTGGGATGAACTGACAAGAGAGAAGGCAGCAGGTGATGGCAACTCCTGCTCTATGTGAGAAAAATAAAACCCCAACCCTTAAGGTCACCATCTTCTGTCTGTTATAAACCTCTCAGCCCTTACAGATGGTAAAAGAGCACCTAGACCATGGCCCATGCAGACTAACAGACCAACACATGGCATTAAAGAACAGACATCATCCTATCTCACAAATGGTTCAAAGAGCAATCCTTCTGGAGAGGAAGGACTCCTTCGCTTTCTCCACCAGTCATGTGCCAGAGGAGCTGAGCTGTGAAAACCTTCACCACTACCACCACTCCAGAGAAGAGGACTTCTTTTTTGTACCACAAAGCCACTGATAATGTGACTGTGCAAGACAAGTGGCAGCCTGGACTTCACTGCACAGGGTTTTCTTTTTGTACGGATAATGCTTGCTCCCAACTCAGCTGTTGTTCCCCTGCAGCTGGAGCCTTGGCTATGCCAGATGGGGTGCCAGCAGATCTGCAGGAGCTTCAGCCACAAAGCAGGGGCAAATTTAAATCCTAAAGTTGATGTATAGGCATATATATTTATTACCAGGGCTACCTCTGGGGGAGTGGAAAATGCTACCTGCCTTTCCAAAATGGCAAAGGACAGCAGCAGTCACCCTGCAGCTCCCAGGTGCAATTCCTTTTCTTTCCCATGGCATTTGCGAGCAGGAGACCTGACTTCAGCTGACCCTGCCATGACAAATGTCTGCTAGCTATCCCCAGCACTGCCAGATTATTTACTCTTGGGGGCCTGTGTGAGTGCACACAGATCCCCAATTCATCCTAAACCACTTTGCTGGCATGCACTGGATTAAGTGCCCTGCACTCCTGTGACCTCAGCAGAGACAAGGCCACCCCTGTGCACAAAGACAGGCTTTGCCTAAAAACCAGGCAACTCTGCCCAAAGACATTGCTCTCTTTAAAGGTCCCATCCCACATGGCCCACAAACAGCAAGAAGCAGCTTGCAAATGATGCAGAGATCATATCCTCTTCCTAAGACTGATACTTCTGGCTTAAATCCACTTACTTCAGGGCTACAATGAATAAATTACCCCACTACTGGAGAGCATGCAGCACAGACTCTTTTTTTCTCTACAGAGCTGTGCCGCCTTGACTGTGTAGATTCTTACATGACACCAACCGTTTCTTAATCTTCCCAAGCAGAGTCAGGTTGGATTTGAACTCAGGTTTAAAACAGCAGTGAAGAAGATACAGACCACCTGAGCCTCGCTGTACTGAACCCTGAATTACGCAGCGTAGCACTTCCTTGTTGCAGGTTTCATGTACTGTAACTCTGCAAAGCAGTGTGGTGCTTGCATAGCCCCCTTTATTTTTGTACCCCTTCCCTTGTGGAAGTACAGCCAGGAAAAGGCACCACTGCATCAGTCTAACCTCATCCATACAAGGAATTGTGCTGATGTCACTTTCTGTAGCTGTTGCTACTGAAATTAAATCAGATCATTACAAAACGTATCTAAAACAGAGATGAAGATAGATCTGATGTGATGATGAGCATAAGGGACCCCAGAGCACTGCTTCAGTTAAGATAATCCTATTTGTTACTCTTCCTTAAATAGATTATGCCAGAAATTATTTTAAGCATAGCCGGGACATGCTGTTTTATGAACTGCAAAAGGCCCTCCTCTTTCTTTCAGCCTTATTTCCTACAGTCTGTGACGGCCACAACACTCAGGCTGCAGTGAGCATCATGCAGGGATGCACACTGGCAGCAGGTAGGGGAACAGAAAGCAAAACCTTTTGCTCTCTGGCAATGGCTTACACCAGGGGTATGAAAAAGCTGCTTCCTGGCCTGCTGATGGGTTGTTGCTCTGGGGCCAGTGTACACTGGGTACACAACCTCCCTCCCTGCTGACATTTCATAACACAGAAGCTGAAACAACAACCTAAGCCCTGATTAGGTATTAAGACACTGCAAAACATGACAGCCTGTTTGATAAGCCAGGAGTCTCTCTTCATCAAGCACTTGATATGGTCAAGACGTCTGCCAGCTCCAGCACATTAACTGGAACTCAAAAGGTTGCCCCTGAAGTCTACGAAGTCCCAGGCTGCAAAATAAGATGGGTTTCTACATCCCTTTAGCAGAGTCAAAGTCAAGGCAGCTTCCCTGTGAAACTGTCTGGGGTTCCTGCAACAAGATTCTTTTCCCTTCTAATACAGTGCAGTCTATCAAAATTAACGAAGGGAAGGCTCCTGCCTTCAGTAAGAGGTTTGGTGGTTTTTTAAAGGATGACATCCTAGTCTTTATTAAAATAACACAAGCTGCTGTCTTGTGACACTCAGGCTTTCTTCACATCAGAAAGTGGCAAAAACAAACCTGAAGGAAATATGCAATGCAAACATGACAGCGTGAGTGCTCAGAGAAGGAACAAAACCAACCCACTGTGCATCAGAAAAAAACAGATCAAGAGTTTGTCACATTTACTTTAGCTAGAAAAAGAACTCATAACCATCTGAAGGGCATGACTGTGCTCTCAGCATAAGGTCCTTGAAATGCCATGTCTGAGCTGCATGGCAGCAGGAATCCTTGAGCAACTTACATGCTCCTGACACAAGAGGTCACCTGCACATCCAGGTGAAGGATATGAAAGATACAACCTGATTTTATTATTGTTTGAGGTACTCTTTTTGTGCCTGTCAGGGTTTTTGCACTTAACACTACATGGCTGCTCCAATGCACAGAGCTTCCTGCCTGCACTTGCAGGCTGGATGGGACTGAAACTCCTTTCTACTCCCTGGGGTCACCAGACTGCTTCTTCCCTGCTTGGGGCAACTGCTGCTTCTCTGTTTGCTGGGAGGAGGAGACAGCCACTTCCAGTCCCCTAACATGGTGACAATAACATGTCTGTGCCCAAGAGCCATCAACCATTTACGGGCTGTTATAAATAGTGTCATTTATTCCATCACAAGAGCTCTGTGATTTTCTGAGTTAAAGACCTTCAAAACCCACTTGTTAGCCCCTTGCCATTCAGCAGACCTGATCAACATTGGCTGCAGTGTGCTTAACACCCACTAGTTATGAGGGTAAATCCAAAAGACAGATGGGGATCACTGCTACTCCACACCGTCCTCACCAACTGACCCATGGAAGCCCAGGTGTGTTAAAAATACTCATTACCCATCCCAAATGTCCTCCAGGACTTCAAGGAGTTCCCTGCACTCTGCTGGAATTTGGTGTTTACCCAGAAGGCCATTGACCAGCTAGTGCTAACTTCTAATTAGGAAAACAAAAGCCATGGGAGAGCCCTTTTTGCCTGTGGAGGAGCACTGATGAACAAAAAACAATTAGAATGACTCTGAAACGAACAGAAGGATTATAAAATCCTAAGCCCACCTCTACCCCACCCCTGCTGTAAAATGAAGATAAGGGGTTGTTTTTGTTTTGTTTTTAAAAAAAGGACAAGACTGCAGCTGGTCTTTGGTTGGCTGAACCTGACATCACTCTGGATGGCCAGCTGAGGGGGATACTCTGCTCAATGTGCCCCCTGCAGCTATGCAGATATCCTCTGCACAACTTTTCAACTGAGGTCAAGTCTTTCCAGAGGACTCTCAACAGGTCCTCGAAGCAATAGAGCCAAACATCCTGCTCCTCCTGCCAAACAAGAATGCTGCAAAGGCCACGGCAACATGGTGGCTCCGGGCTTCAAGGCCCTCTCCTGCGCAGAGTGCCATAAGCAGAGCAGGTCAGGCATAATGCTCCTCCCCCTACCCAACATGGGTCCTGTTGTTAAGTTCAAGGGTTTTCTGTTTCAATAGATTTATAATTGGAATGTATTACAAATGTTATTTATTAAAACTAACATAGTTTTGCAATAGTGTTTGGTGCAGTCTCTTTTGAACACAAAAGCTGAGACACAAGGTTGATTTCTCCATCCTTGATTTCCACAGATGGGTGCACACAATCTAACACCTAAGCAGCTTCTTAGGCACAGCTAGAAGCAAAATACAAGATGTAGGTGATGTCCTAGAAAAAACAACATATGAGGAACATCAGCTGAACTTCATAGGTCACATCTCCCATGCCATTCCCAGGTGGTGGAGACAGAAACAACCTGCAGCATGCAATACAACCTGCAGCATGCAATGCCCCCTGCTCCCACAGGAAAAGGACCCAGCTAGGCACACAACCATCTCTGCTGTGCACAGGGAAGCAGAAGTGCAAACGTGCTAGCAACATGCAGGAAACCATTTTTTAAACTATGCTTGTCAGAAGAGGACTTTTTCCTTGTCTTTTCCCCCAGCAACTTCAAGGAAAGAATTAAAATATTACACACCAACTGGAAAATATTGCCTAATTCTACCTGTGATCTCTGATTTCTGTATCAATTTTTCAAAGCCTGACTCATCGGAAGGATGCACTCCCCACCCGCCAGACACATGCTCTTTCTTTTCCTCCTTACCTTGTCACTGGTTCTGTATTTGCTCCATTTCTTCAGCATCTTTAGCCACTTGTCCACACGTTCAATTTCCTGCTGTTTTTGCTGGTGCAAGGGGGAAGAATACAGGAGAAATTCAAGAAAAAAAGCCCCAGAAGATACCTCCTAAAACCACAAAACTTCATTCTCTTTATCTTTGAACTTCTACACAAAGACTTCACACTGGGGATAGGAATAATCCACAGGTGCATGCAGGAACTGATTATTTCAACCCATAGTATTTAAAGCAGCACTGGTAAAAATGAAGAGACACTCAGGCTTAATGTAGAGAAAGCATTTCTAAGAGGAATATTCCTTGAGAACAAATATCTTTGCAGGTTCAGCTAGCCTCAAATCGTATCACTGTATCAGACTGGCAGAAATGAGATGCTATTTGGACTCAGTTAGCAGGATCCTAACAGAGGACACACTCTCAGCTCAGGGGAGATGAGGATGGAGATGATGTTACCTACAACCTCCACTGCTTTTCCCTTTTCAAGCTACAGCTGCTGAGCACTGTGCCAAAGCAGTGGGAAAACCCCAAAACTGCTTTAAGAGGTGTGATTTCACTGCAACAAGGATAAGAGGAGATGCCTGACCCAGCAAAACAAAAGCTCCAACAGTTGGGCAACATGCAGTTCCCACCTCTGTGAGCAGCAGTGACCAGTGGACACTGTTTGCCTGCTTCGGTCTCACGTGCACATCTGCTTCCTCAAAATCCATCCCCTCCCCAGCTGGTGTGACAAGGATCTGATCGATACCCATGATGACAGAGCTGGCAGCTCTCACCTTCTCTTCCAAGGCGGTGCGGGTTGGCAGCTCCTGCTCGCTGGAAAAGCAAGAGGTGACTGGTTACTCTCTGGGCAAGAAAGGGTGTGGACGAGCACTCGGAGTGCTGCAGCTCGGGGACTGTCTTGGGCATCTGAGGAGATACGGCTCGGGGGCTTCCTGCCTTTCCTACAGCTGTCCCGGATGAGAAAGGGGCAAAGAAAGGACCAGACAAAACCCCATGAGGCTACAGAAAGGGTAATGGAGGATCTCTGGAGAGCAATTGCTTTGAACCCCCCTCCTGCACTAAAAAAGACCTACTATAACAACTTTTTGTTCAGATTTGGAATAAAACCAGTTCTTTTAAACATTCTCCCCAGGCAGAGGCCACCTAAATCATCTGTGGCCTGCTTAAGATGGGGATTTTCTAAGGGAACCGAGAATGACCATATATATTTTCTCATCTCTTCCTACACCTCCCTGAATCCTCAGGTGCAAATGCAAGAGCGTATCCCTCTGCAACAGACCATGGGCCTCCACAGAAGTACAGGAGCACCAGCCTGCACCTTCTGATGCCAGGCTCATGAACCACTGCAAAACGGTTTGCAAATGCAAACCCATTTCTGAGTCTTGCCTTGCAGCAGATTCAAAGCATCAGAGTTATTTGAATATGTGTGGTTGAGGGAGGAAGCACATCTAGTCTTTCCCCCTGCATATGGGACTGATCAAGCCAAGCCACAGAGCAGCTTATCACAGTATCACAGTATGCTAGAGACTGGAAGGGACCTCAAAAGATCTAGTCCAATCCCCCTGCCGGAGCAGGAACACCTAGATAAGGTTACACAGGAATGTGTCCAGGCAGGTTATGAATGTCTCCAGAGAAGGAGACTCCACAACCTCCCTGGGCAGCCTGTTCCAGTGTTCTGTCACCCTCACTGAGAAGAAGTTTCTTCTCAGGTTTAAGTGGAACCTCTTGTGTTCCAGTTTGTACCCACTGCCCCTTGTCCTATCATTGTTTGCCACTGAGAAGAGCCTGGCTCCATCCTCGTGACACTCCCCCTTTATACATTTATATACACTAATAAGGTCACCCCTCAATCTCCTCCAAACTATAGAGACCCAGCTCCCTCAGTCTTTCCTCATAAGGGAGATGCTCCACTCCCTTAATCATCTTAGTTGCCCTGCGCTGGACTCTCTCCAGCAGGTCCCTGTCCTTTTTAAACTGAGGGGCCCAGAACTGGACACAATATTCCAGATGCGGTCTCACCAGGGCAGAGTAGAGGGGAAGGAGGACCTCTCTCGACCTACTAACCACCCCCCTTCTAATACACCCCAGGATGCCATTGGCCTTCTTGGCCACAAGGGCACAGTGTTGGCTCATGGTCATCCTGTCGTCCACTAGGACCCCCAGGTCCCTCTCCCCTACACTGCTCTCTAACAGGTCGTTCCCCAGCCTATACTGGAACCTGGGGTTGTTCCTGCCCAGATGCAGGACTCTACACTTTCCCTTGTTATATTTCATCAAGTTATTCCCTGCCCAACTCTCCAGCCTGTCCAGGTCTCGCTGGATGGCAGCACAGCCTTCTGGCGTGTCGGCCACCCCTCCCAGCTTAGTGTCATCAGCAAACTTGCTGATAGTACACTCAATTCCCTCATCTAAATCGTTGATGAATATATTAAATAATACTGGTCCCAGTACCGACCCTTGAGGCACTCCACTAGATACAGGCCTCCAACTAGACTCCGCCCCATAGACTACAACTCTCTGGCTTCTCTCCTTCAGCCAGGTCACAGTCCACCTCACTACCTGATCATCCAGACCACACTGCCTCAATTTAGCTGTGAGGATGCTGTGGGAGACTGTGTCAAACGCTTTGCTGAAGTCAAGGTAGACCACATCCACCGCTCTGCCATCATCCATCCACTGTGTTATTTCCTCATAAAAGGCTACGAGATTGGTCAAGCATGATTCCCCTTGGTGAAGCCATGCTGACTGCTCCTCATAACTCTCTTATCCTTGATATGCCTTAAGATGGCACCAAGGATAAGGTGTTCCATCACTTTCCCAGGAACGGAGGTGAGGCTAACCGGTCTATAGTTACCCGGGTCCTCCTCCTTGCCCTTTTTGAAGACAGGAGTGACATTTGCTTTCCTCCAGTCCTCAGGCACCTCTCCCATTTCCCAAGACTTGGTAAAGATGATGGAGAGTGGTCTAGCAATGACCTCCGCCAGTTCCCTCAGCACCCGCGGGTGCATCCCATCTGGACCCATGGATTTATGGTGTCCAGATTGCTCAACTGGTCTTTAACCCATTCCTCATCGACTAAGGCAGACCGCTCCGTTGACCTAACTTCATCTGAGGTCTCAGAGGTACAGGGCTCTTCAGGACTGCCTCCGGCAGAGTAGACAGAGACAAAGAAGGCATTCAGTAACTCTGCCATCTCTGTATCTTCTGTCACCAGGGCACCCATCCCGTTCATCAGCGGGCCTACATTGCCTCTGGTGTTAGTTTTATCTGCCATGTATTTGAAAAAGCTCTTTCTGCTGTCCTTGACCCCTCTCGCCACATTTAATTCCAAGGAGGCCTTCATCATCCTAGCTGACTTCCTACATCCTCTAGCAGCAGCCTTATATTCCTCCCAAGTGGCCAGCCCCTCCTTCCATGACCTGTAAACTCTCCTCTTCCACTTCAGCATACCCAGCAATTCCCTATTTAGCCACACAGGTCTGCTGGCCCTCTTCCTTGACTTCCTACGTTTCGGGATGCTCTGATCTTGAGCTCGGAAAAAGCAGTCCTTGAACGTCAACCAACTGTCTTGGGCCCCTTTACCTTCAAGCAGCCTTGACCATGGGATTTCCCCTAGCAATTGCTTGAAGAGGCCAAAGTTTGCCCTGCTAAAGTCCAGGGTTGCGATTCTACTTGCTGTTCTACTGGTGCTACCACACAAGATCCTGAATTCCACCATCTCATGATTGCTGCAACCAAGGCAGCCCTCAACCTTCACTGCTTCAACCAGACCCTCCTTGTTAGTGAGGATGAGATCCAGCAGCGCTCCTCTCCTGGTTGGCTCATCCACCACTTGCATGAGGAAGTTATCATCCATACACTGGAGGAACCTCCTGGACTGCGGCTGGGTTGCTGAGTAGTCCTTCCAGCAAACATCAGGGAAGTTAAAATCCCCCACGACGACCACGGCCTGTGACTGTGAGGCCGCTCTCAGCTGCCTGTAGAAGGCCTCGTCAACTTCCTCACCCTGATCCGGTGGCCTGTAACAGACCCCCACAACAGTATCGCCCCTGCCAGCCTGCCCCTTAATTCTCACCCACAGACTCTCAACTCGCTCATCATCTGTCCCCGGACAGAACTCAACGCACTGTAGCTGCTCTCGCACATAAAGAGCAACCCCACCACCCCGCCTGGCTGGCCTGTCTTTCCTGAAAAGGACACAGCCCTCCATGACTATATTCCAGTCATGTGAGCTGTCCCACCACGTCTCTGTAATTGCCACCAGATCATAATCTCCCGACTTAACACAGGTTTCCAGCTCCTCCTGCTTATTTCCCATGCTGCGTGCATTGGTGTACAGACATTTCAGGGAGCAAGCTGAGCACACCGATTTCACCCCAGGATTACAGGAGGCCTCCCAGTCTTCATCAATTCTGAAGCGCTGCCCCACTGGGGCAAGCCCAGCTACAACCCCATCCCCCTTCGAATCTAGCTTAAAGCTCTCCAAATGAGCCCTGCTAATTCGTGCCCCAGCATCCTTTTGCCTCTGTGCGATAAACCTTTCCCACATGCCAATGTCCAGACTGGTGCCCTATAAAACCAGCCGTTATCAAAGAATCCAAAGCCCTGCCTGCAGCCCCAGCCTCAAAGCCAATTGTTTATGGACTGAATTTTCCCATTCCGTCCCACATCATCAATGGAAGATGGAAGGAGTGAAGAGAAGATCACTTGGGCCCCAGAGTCTTTCACCATCCGCCCCAAGGCCATGTAGTCTTTCTTCATCCCCCTCAGACTGCGGGAAGCAGCTTCCCCCTCACCTGTCTGGAAGACCAGCAGCGGGTAGTAGCCTGTCAGGTGCTCCAGGTTCGGGAGCACCCTGGTGATATCCCTGATCCGGGCTCCAGGCAGACTACACACTTCCCTTTGATGAGGGTCAACTCTGCATATCGGGCCCTCTGTTCCTTCCAGAATGGAATCACCTACTACAATGACCCTTCTTTCTTTCTTATCAGAGGCAGTCTTGAGGTGCGAAGTCGACCGCTTTTCCTATGTGGCCTTGTAGGTGGGCCTTGCACCACATCCTCACCTACCTCTCCTTCAAGATCCAGGGCCTCAAACCTATTACGGAGGGACACCTGGGGAAGCAGGGCAGGAAGGGAGGAGGGTTGCCCACCACACCAAACTGGAACTCACTTCCAACCCTCATCATCTTTTTGGTCCCCTGCCTCTGCGTGACAGCTACAGGGCAGGGGCTGTCTCGGGACATCCCCCTCTGTCTGAGAGGGCAGGGGGTCCATCCTCTTTTGGGGGGTATCACCCTGGAACTGTTCCAACTGGCCAGCCAGGGAGTTACTCCAGCAGTCGATCTCCCTTTCACACTCCCTGATGCTCCTCAGCGACTCAACCTCCTCCTTAAGTTTTGCCACCAAGCTAAGCAGATCTTCTACCTGCTCACACCTCACGCAGGTGGAATGCTGTCCTCCCTCCCCCGGCTGCAGCAGGCTCTGGCACTCCCTGCATCCAGAGACCTGAACAGCCACGGTTCGGGACGGGGTCTCTGTCTGAGTTGCTACAGCCCTCTTACTGCTAGCTCTCTTTCTGGAGGCGACCATATTGGTCAGCAGTCTGGGACACCAGCAACAGCGTCAGCAACACGACCTGCTTGTTCCTCCCTGCGCCTGGTGGGCAGCGACGCCCTCTCAGAGGCTCTCTCAAGGCAGGGGCCAGGGGGTGGTCACCGTCACCGTGGGAATGCCCCCCGCCACGTCAGCCGCTCTCTCGCAAGGGCTGCTGGGGCTTCAGGGATCGGGAGATGTCAGGAATCGTGATGCCTCTGTGCTGTCCCCTCTGATTTTGCTAATCTCTGTTGAACCTTGCTGTTGCTGAAGCGTCCCGGCAGCGGCTCTAGCTGGGCTAGCTCCGACCAGCTGACTGAATCAGTCTGATGGGTCTGCCATGCTTGGCGCAGATGGATGCACAGACATGTGAGTCAGAGAGGATAGGAGAGGGCAGGAGGACTTACTGCAGGAATCCAAACCGGTCTGTAACTTTATACAGTGTAAAATCAGCATCTTCCCACAGGTCAATCTGAGCTCCCTCCTGCCTGCCCTGAAAGCAGAAAGGACACCTGTGAGCAAGCTCCAGCATCAGGAATGCCCCAGTGCCTGAATCCCAGCCCCAGTGCCTGCATCCCACCTCTTAGCATGCTAAAAGGCATAGAGCTAGGAGACCAAAACCTGCTCTAAAGAGATAAATACAGTGCAGGCAAGAGCAAAATGTGCAAGTTCAGCCTATACAGCATTCCAGTGTGCCTCTGCTACAGGCTGCGAAGGGCTGTATATCAGAGAAACTAGTGCTGTCAAGCATAAGCCATTCTGGTGCTACAGAGCACCAATGCACTGGAAGTTTAGGACCTTTTGGTATCTATGCTGAGCGTACAAGGGATCTGTGAGGAGCTCTGTGGATGTTGTGAGAAGGGATGTGCAAGCAGAAGCAGGTAGGGAGAGCTGGCACAAAGCCTGATGGCATGAGGGTTACTGGGGTGATGCCTGAAGGGATGCAAAAGTTCTTATTCAAAGCAATCCTAATCAGTAAAACAGCTTCATCCTTAGTCAGCATGATGGGGAGAAACATAAGGTTGGTACCTTCTCATATTTAGCAACAATCTCTGCTTTTTCCTGGGCTATTAAAGACTCTATATCTTTCTTCATGTCAGAAGCTGTAAGACACAAAAAAAAGGGGCGTGGGTTAAGTAAATGTGTACACAGCATGGGAAATTTAGGAAACTGCTAAACAGAAAAAACCTTTGCTAACAACTTCAGCTTCCAGCCATATCCTATAGCTAAAATCAGGCTGAGGTTGAAGAGCCCCTGCCTGTACAAAGCACGCATGCAGCTTGCCTGCACACAGCAGGACTGCCAGCTCCCTGCTCTCTGCACACAACTGAATTTGAGCAAGGGGGAGTCCTGCCTGCTGAAAGAGAAGACACTGTGCCTTTGTTCTTAGGCACACACATGCCTGTATGAAAAACATCGTGCTTTTAAATCAAGACATGCAAACCAGCCACAGAGCCCTTGCACTGCACAGGTCATTCACCACTTGGGCACTGCACAGCACAGTGTTTGTGTGAATGACAGCAAACTACCATGCTCTTGCCCTCAGCTATGGATCTGAAGCCTTGAGATGCTCAGTAGGGGCATCCAAAGGCAGATTTAACATCAAAGGAGAAGGTTTTGCCTACTGAAGTGTGCATACAACAAGTAGATTTGCCACTCTAGATGACTGCCTTCTATACACCCCCTAAAAGAAAAACAACACAGCAGCAAGATGACTACAGAGTCCCCATCCACTCTGAGATGGGCAAGTCTTGATCTAAGCAAGACTCAGACTAGCTCCCTGGGGTCTGTGCCAACTGCTCTGCTTTGTCCCATGCACATAGGTACAAGCAAGACAACTTCCCACATGAAATGTGACTCGAGTGTTGTCCTGTAGAAGCCCAAAGGAGCATGCTTCCTGTAAAGCCATACACAGTTTCTTGCTGTTCACCAAAGAAAAAGGCTGATTTAACACAGAGCAGACAAAACCCATAGGGAACACAGTCCCCAGGAAGAGGGCAGAGGGAAGGTTTACTAAGTCCTCCTCCTCTGAAGTGGTTTGTGACCAGCCCTGCTCAGACCACACAATGACTATGGCATCATCTAAAGCCAGGCTACTACAAGTCACATTACCCAAACCGTTGTGCTTCAGGAGCAATGCAGTAAACTTGTTCTTGAGCAGCTATTGCACAGTGTTTTCACCTGTGGATAGCAATGACTCTCTTCTCTCCGAAGAGGTGATCACCAGCGCTTTGGGACAGGACCAGAGCACAGCAAAGCAGGATTTATTTTCCAGCTTCAGGTGCAACAGGGAAGTCTTCTGTTCTTTTTTATTTTCAAAATTCTGTAATTTCTCGTAGAAGGGTTTCAAGTCTGTTCTGGTAGGGGGATCACAGATGTTCCAGGGAGCTCCTTTCAAGCCCTACAACAAGCCTCTTATCTGTATTACTTAATTTGTTTAGCTTTCATATGTTCTGAGTAAATCACTGGATCATTTGTAATATGACAGTGGGGAAAATATTTTAAGGCTGCTCAAGAACAAGTTTACTTCAAGCTGCCATTGCAGTCCTCTAATGGACACCAAGAACTACCCTGACCTCCCCTTCAGGAGCAACCTGAAGGGCTCTTGTAGGGTATGCTATCCTAGCTTCTGAGTGAAGCTGCATCTGGATGGCAGCACTCGGCACCAGATGAGCCAGAGCAGCCAAAGGCGTTGTACTTGGAATGACCTGAAGAATGCAGTTTTTCCTTGAGGGTAAAAACCCAAAAGCAGTAAGAAAGAACTGGCAGAGCTATGATGAGCAAAAGCATCAGTGCTCTCCAAGGCTCAGCCCACTTCTCTGTGCCTTCAGACATCTGTAAGTGATCGTTTGTCCCATCTTACCAACTTCTTAATGTAACCTGCTCGCTCCCACCATGTCTTTCAGGCACAGATGGAGACTGCCAGGAGATCCATCTTTCCCAAACTCTTCATTTTGAAAGCAGCCATTGGTCCTGGTGTGACAGAAATACTAAACCATGTTCAATAACTAGGGCAGCTCTTCTGTGACACATTATCAGCCAGCAGTACAGGCAATTCACTGCTTTACACTCACTAACAGACACCAGAAAAAAGCAAACTCTTCAAATTCACAGCGAGAATGGGTGTATCTTTCCCCATTATTAACGCCACAACCAAAACAAAGCAAGGAAGGAAATATTAAAGCATATTTTGTTCCCTTATTTTTCCAAGCTACATCTCTTGCTTCAAATGTTCCCGTGAATTTTGCTCAATACACGTTAATCACAGCTTCATTTTTCAAAGTAGCAAGGTCTGAGTAACTGTCTCTGAGTAACTGTCTCATGGTGCCATCTAATCTAGCTGCATCTTCTCACACCTCTCTTACGTGAAGTTTAACTCAAAGACAAATTCACTCCCCCACTTCTGACATTTGTTTCTCGGTTGCTAGTTAAGGGGCCAAAGACTTCAAATTAGGTCCTTTACATGCAGCTAAAAATACAAGTATTCTGCAAGCTCGAGGGAAAAAATAAACTGTGCGTCACATTAAATGGTCATTTTTTCCAAGACGTTTACAAAGAGAAAGTTATTCTGAAAGTCTCTGACCACACTCTGTAATAGAATAACCAAAGGAAGAGCAGCTCGGTAACATGGATGGGTTTACAGAGCAGAAGACAGCAGCAAGACCACATATATTTTGGCATCTGCTTTTGCAAAAGCCCCTCTGCAGCCAGAAATGCCAGAGTGGTGCAAAGGAGACAGATTGGCATCTCATGCCTGGAACATGCACATTTGTTTTCTCTTTCTGCTATAACAGCACAAAAGCCCAAGTTCAGGAAAGCTGGAAAGCAGACTATGTTGATGGCAGTATTGATGGCAGGATGGAGATGGCAGGTGGCTGCACCTGCCTTGGCTTCTGACCACAACCCTGCTGCTTTTTGGAGTACAAAGGTGACACTGTGTTTGACTAGGTGGTTTTCAAAATACTCTGGAGAAGCAACAGAATAGAGCTTAGCTCTGTAACAGCCTGTGTTGAATAAAGATATTGAATATGGGCATTTTTATTATTTCATAACATAAATAATGTGGATAGGTTGAATATTGTATGTATAATACAACTGAATGTATGAATTGAATTCATACATTGAATGTGGGTATATTTATTATTTAATATAAGAGTGCATACTATAACTCCGGAGTAGCTTGACGCCATAAAGTCACAGCATTTGCTTGAGGGAAATGACACATTGTTTATATGGAAACTACTGAGACATTTATTTTCTGGAGAGCCTGATGATACACATCATTCTGCCTGGATATAAATAGGCTACCCATAAATAGGCACAGCCCGTAACTGACACACTTCTCCATATATTTATATAAGACTGAAGACTTTTTAATACACAAATTACTTTCTCCAGCTTGCCACCCAATTTTTTCTATGAATTGTGTATCTTCTCAGCAAACAGGGTTGGGGTTTTTTGCATGACAAGGTATGCAAAGGAACGGTAAGTAAATGTGAACAACGTGAGAGTAGTATTAAATCTACTAGGATATAAGCAAAAGATGGCCCCAAGACATGCACACTTAAATTGAACTGGGAAACAAAGTTAACAACTAGTTCCTTTGAAAAAGAATGAGTCGAAAAACCCCACCATCTGTCATCTCACACCAAAACTTGCAGCTTCCAATTTAAGGAAGTAAAAATCAATCCCAAAAACAGTAAGCTTGAAGATGCTTAATGAAAATGCATGTTACTGCCTACCAGCATGGAACTCTATCTAGCCATCCACAAGCCTAAAATAAAATATCCAAGTTTTGAATGAGAACAACATCCCTGAAATTAATCCACCAGCTGGGATCTCAAGTATTGGCAGCAGAAAGAAGGTGTCTCCATACCCTCCCCCTAAAGTCCTGTGTTTTTCCAGTAATATCTGCTGAGCTCCCCCTGCCTCTCATGGGGTGGAACCCATGAGGACCAGCCTGGCCAGGAGCATGGGAAACTCTGGCCACCAGTCACTCAAACTGTGTGTTGCAACCCTGCTCACTGCCCAGAAGAGGAACTGAGCATTTCCTATGGCCTGGTGACAGTGCTCCTCGTGCCACAACTCAGGGACATGGACACACCCATCCCTGTCACCCTCAATCCTGATGTGATGCCTCCTGCTTATAAACCCATTAGCAATCACCCTGCCTGGTTTGCTCCCTCTGTGCCAGGACCTGCAGAAGACACAGACACTGTCACTTTTTTCCACAGAGGTCGCTTGCCAAGGTCTTCCTTTCCCCACTCCTCAATTTACATGCAACAAGGACAAACTTCCATTAAACCCCACCAGGATGTGAGACCAGTATGCTGAATCTGATCCACCAGAAAAGCAATTGGATATGGACTGGAACTGAAACTTCAAAGGCTCAGCTGATGGGCCCAGTCCTGCAGAGGGTTGCAGGTGGTTGCACATCAGCATGTGTTGAGATGACCTCTCAGAAATTCACTGCAACCATGATTCCAGATGTGACTTCTCTGAGCCCTCCTCACAAACTGCTTTTACTGTTGGGACCTTGGCCAGAAAGCATTTTCCCAGCCTCTGAATGGAGTAGCTGTGGTGATGTTACCAAGCAATCCATCTGAGCTGCTGAACTTTTAGTCTCTCCAAGCCCTTTCTGCCTCCTTACAAAGAAAGTACAAAACTTTTACATGCTTTTATACTGGTTTTAGGTAAGTTTTATACTATCAGGCTGCATAAGCATCATACTTAATTTGCTTGCCTTCACCATTTTGCTGCAAGGTGAACTGTAGACCCAGCATCACCTGGCAGAAGGGCTCTTGAAAACTAAAATATCAGCAAAATCTCCTCTTTTCAGGAAGTACAGCATAGCATCATGCTCTCAACTGTGAGCTAGGTTTGGGGATATTCTAGAACCCAAGTTTTAAACATTTTATATTGTAGAAAAGTATCTACTCATGCCACTTGAGGTTATAGACTATATGTTTGGTAACTTCCCCATTCCCACTGCATTTACCAGTCAAAGCAAATTAAAGGTAAGCATGATGCAGGCACACAGCTAAATACAGTTGAGTTATGAAATTTTATCTGTTACCTCCACCAAGGAGAGTTATTTCAACTGCCTGCACCCCTCCTCTGCATGACAGATCTCCAGGGCAAAACGTGTAAAATTTGCATTTTTGCTTCAGTAACCTTGTAATGCTTCCCCTTCCCATCTGCACCCAAACCTACAAAAACACATAATTTTTGTTCTGCAAGCTATTGCAAGCAGAAGATCATAGAAAAAGGAGAAATGGAGGCAACTTTTGACAGCCATACGTCAACACCATGCTGGCGTGTATCAGATGGAAACTACTGCTGTGGAATAAAGTAGTAAAGGTACAAACTTACTACAGCCACATCTACTGCTGCTGAAACTCAACAAGTTGCTGTTCCTGTTTCTTGTTCTATTTTAAAAGCACATTTTAACACAGCGTTTTATGTTTTCAGCCATCTAAGATATAAACCTGTGATTTCTCTTCTAGTGGAAAAGGCTTAAAGTAAATGCTTAAGCATCTATGCAAGTGAAAAAGCTTATACAACATCTGCTAAGAGGTGAGGTGCCTGCATGAGGCACACCTGCAGTCTGCATCACTTCTCAGTAAAGCACTGCTCTCACTTCTAAAGCTATTACTAATTGTAACAGTGACTCATGCACTCGTACACCCTGGAATAAACCTGGCCGTGTGAAGCAGTGCAAGAGGCTGCTTGTGAAGTGGCTAAAGCAAGCTGCAGAAAGTTGAATACCCTATGGGGGGCGAGAGGGGTAAGTGCATCAAACGGCACTTTGACAGGCTTCAAACCATACAGGCTATTAGCTATGTGCCACCTCCCCATTCTGGTTGCCTGGTATAATTTGGAGGGCACAGTCAGCAGCTGCGATCTGAGGAGCTGTCATAAGACGCTAGTCTCTCACACACTTAAAGGCCTCTCAAAAGCAAAAGCTGTGGGGTTACACCACGGCATATACCTAGCAAGCACAGCCAAAATGAGTACGGCTTTGGGTATGCTTCAATTGCATTGCCATGGCCCAAGGAAACCTTAAAGCCTCCTAAGATACCAAGGAGGAGCTGCAGGCTGCTGCAGGCAGGTGCTGGCACACATGCTTGTGTGCCCAGGAGGTGACGAGCCACAGAAGGAAGTGACAGCAACGCACTGCCAGAAGCAAGCAGAGTTTCTGCTTCACAAGACATGGCTCCTCACATAGAAATCAAGCTGCTACTGAGGTCTTGATCCAAGACTGGCCAGCATGCCCCCCTCCATCGTCACAGCTGCCACGGTATTGCTTACTAGAAACCCAAATTTCAGTCCCAAAATGGACAACACACTCAAGAACTTTACACTGAGAACTTCTGCTGATCCCCATCCACAGCTCCCCTCTCATAAACAAACCCAGACTGCAAACAACCTGGCCAGGCACCAGCTTCAGTACTACACACCACTGACTGCACTTCACCAACCTTACCCCAAATCTGGCACTCACTCACAACCCTGCTACCAAAAAGGCAGCCAGACTTGTACTCACAGTCAATTATGACTTCAAGAATGAAATTACTACCAAGCAGGATGAACCAAGATATAGGAGATCCTGTTTGCATGTTTATTTCCTTGACTACAACAAAAACTCAGGAGCACACAAGCAGGCTGGTTTGTTTGGGTTTTTTTTTGTTTGTTTAAGGGCGTAAGGAGCAGTTACCAGTTGAACTGCAAGAAGGTTTATGATTTAACTGTCTCAGGGTCTTTGAAAATGACTGCCCACAGATCACTTTAAATGAATCACATATGTGCTACGGAAAATTCAGATGAGCTCCTGTCCCAGTAAACTGTATCTGAAATTGCACTGGATGCTGTGTTGGACAAAAACATGCTCACTTCCTTTAGCAGAGCCACTGGGAACACCCAAATAAGAACCTCACTTTGAGGACACTAACAAAGTCACAGCACCATCCTAGAGAAGACCCTGCAGACTTATCAGCACAATGATCCACAGCACACAATGGCTCTTGGGGCGATTCTCACCTACTCTGGAGCTGGTTAGTAAGTTCAGAGAAGAAAACATGGAAATAAAACCCAGCTCCAAGAAACATGCCCTTACCTGAACCTGGTATCAGGTGCCGAGATGCACCAGCTCAGCTGGACTTGTCCTCTCTCCTGTGGGCATCTACCTGGCAGGAGCTGGTTGTCTCCACCGTGGGGTGGTGAGGACCCCCAGCCACCGCAGACCACCGATCAAATGCGCTTTGTCCTCACCCGTGCTGTCCAGGTTCAGTGACGCTCTCCCCTTCCCTCCTCTGGCACATGAGAGCTCGCTGCTAGTGTCTTGGAGAAGAGGCAAGGAGGGAAACAATCCACACACAGGCTCTCTCTTCCCCCGGGCTCACTGCAAAGGAGATAAGGGAATTAAGTTTTCCAGTTCTGGTACAGCAGAGGCACCATCATTTACATTCAGAGGAAAGACAGGCTGTACTGGAGTGAGCAGCAAGGCAGTATCTCAGCCTGCTCAGGAAGGAATAGGCTGTAATTGGAGGGCACCCAACGGCAGAAAAAAAACTACACTCATCTGTGCTGCAACCAAAGCCTTGGTGTAGGTCATGCTCAGATTCTGTTGATTTGGTGGTGTTCTCCAGGACTTGTGCTAACACAGACAACTCATTATAGGAATTTTGTTTGGGGCTGGGTAGGAGTTTTATAACTATCTGACCGTACATGCTAGCTACTGAAAACCAGCCTGTGTGCTTCCAGCTGCATGCTGGGAAGGGACTCTTCATTAGGAACTGTAGTAGTAGGACAAGGGGTAATAGGTTAAAACTTAAAATAGGGTAAATTCAGGTTAGATAAAAGAGGAAGTTCTTTACTGTGAGGATGGTGAGGCATTGGAATGGGTTGCCCAGGGAAGCTGTGAATGCTCCATCCCTGGTGGTGTTCAAGGGTAGGCTGGACAGAGCCTTGGATGGCATGGTTTAGTGCGAGGCGTCCCTGCCCATGGCAAGCGGGTTGGAACTGGATGATCTTAAGGTCCTTTCCAACCCTAACTTTCCAACCCTAACTGTAACCAATTCTATGATTCTATGATGCTCAGTTAAGACACAACTCAGCACCTGGTTTGCAGCAGGGGAGCTGTGTTTTAGCCTATTTTCTGGCCTGGTTGAATGCCAGGTGATGGAGGACTTCCCATACGGATCTCTGACTCTTATCTCATTTGTGTACCAGCAAACATGTGCTACTGACAACTCAGCAGGCAGAATATGCCCCCTGCCCAAGACAAAGTCACAGTATTACATCTGACTTCAGCCAATCTACGAGTATGTTGCTGCCAAGAAGGGATCCCATGGAGGGTCCAGGCCATTCCTCCAGGACTTTGGTCAGGTTAAGACCAGTAACACAACGTCACCAACTCACATGGCAGAAGAGCTGGGAACAGCAGTGCCACCTGAGCCACCTTGCAGCACTTGCAGTACCTACCTGATATATCCAAACAGCTAACACAGTTCAAAGGACACCAGAGCCTAACATATAGCTATCAGTTCTTTTAAAACAAGTTTTTAATTCCCACCTTAGGCAATGCGCTGGTTTCACAAGTGTGAAATCAAGACATGATCCCAAACTGCAACGCTTCTGTCTGAAGCCAGCAAGCGTTGGGAGGCGGAAGTGTGTGTTGATGCTTGGGAGAGGAAGCACAGCTCCCTTTCGTCATGAGCAGCCACTTTAGTAACACCACCTCTCCTCCAATCCCCCTCACAAGCACCTGCAAATGGACTTTTCTCCATATTCCTGGGCTGTCCTGTGCTGAATTTCCCTGCTGTCACTCCTTCAGCACATAGATACAACAACTCAGAGACCCCCAAAGTGCAGAAGACTTCGCACCCTTTTCGAGTGCTATTATAGGTTATTTCCATCAAGTAGCCTATAATACAGATTACATTATATATACATTATCACTGAGTAATTTATAAGGTTTACACCCATTATAATGCAGATTACACATGGTTCCCAATTTCCTTTCCAATTTGCACTAAGCCACCAACCTTTTAAAGTATGATGGCAAGCTGTGGCCACAATGATTTATTATTTGCCACTAGACTATGGCAATGCAATGCAATCTATATACATTGACCAAGTCTTGTAGTTATGGAAATCACTAAATGTAAGGCTGCAATTACTTGCTATGCACACTCCCCACAATGAACTCACACAGCAGCACCGCCAGTAAATAAAACCTCAACCTTCCTGTGCTCTCAGCACAACATCTTGCTCTCACATTGACACACATTTTTTGTGCTCTACCTTAGCGCTCAGGTTAAGGTCTTCTGCCAGAATGGAGATGGGAGAGAAGTAAGACTGCTGATAAAGAGATCTGGTCTCCTCCTTGCTTACGCTCAATAAGCCCAGCCTTGGTGCTTCTGTAAAGTCTAAGCTGTTGCAGTGTCAGAAGACATAAACTAAACCCTCTAAGCAGAATAGTGAGTCTACAAGCAATTCCTCATCAGCTTCTATTTTTAGACCTCATGGGGAATAAAAGAGCATCCAAATATTTTTTTTAAGCTCTTTTTGACAGGAACTCATCTTCTCCAGACAACAATAGCAAAAAACCCCCAAACAAACAAAACCCAACACAAGCAAATCCTAAGATGCTTATGCTTTTATGAACTTACGCTTTTTAAAAACTTCTCTGTTTTAATGATGTCTCATTAAAAAAGGAAAGCAAAGTAATGAATGCAAAAGTCCACATGCTGCTTTGGGAATTGAAGACTAATTTTATCTTTGCATTCCCTCCTTCCTCCCTTCCAGTGTTTATAAAAAGGCCAGAAATGCTGAGGAGGTGTGTGGGGCGGTGTGTCAACGACCATCCCCTTTTTTTCGGGTGATGCACTGACCTAGAAAGTAACTACATAAACACAGAGCTTAGGAACCAGCTTCTTCTGTTTGCTTAAGGCTGGAAGAGCAGTTTACATTTCTTTAACCGTAAACTAAAGGAAGCTACAACAATGGTCATTCTCCACTTGGACATGCATTCCTCTCTAAGTACTGTATTTTATTCTTTTCAGTCCATGTACAACACCACAGGACACACTTCTCTTTTACCATACCCTGGTCACTCTTGCCTCCAGCTATACATGACAATTTTGGGTAAGCTGAAAGCTCTTACCACATCTCCTTTTGCTATTTAAAACTTTACTGCTCTTCAGCTCGGCAGCCACTGCCAACTAGAGGCCACCCACACGGAACACGTGCCTAAAGCAGCAGAGTGAGGACACATATCCTCGCTGATACCTAAGATGCTACCTTCGGCACTGTGGAGCAAGTGAAGGTCACTAATCAAAACCAAAGGAACAAGGATGCAAAAATAAGCTACCGTGCTGCCAGCAGCCTGTGCTTTCCTTTGTAGAGAGGGGCGGCATCTTTTTTAAAACACAAATAAGTAACAAACGTACCATCATATAAAGTCTCTGGGACAGCTGATGAAATAAATGGGTAGGAAGTTAACAAAACCTACTAATAATGAGATGCAGCTTGTCTGTGGAAAGCTCACCCAAAATAATCACTGAGGTAAATGATTTATAAGTTGCAACCATGTTAAAGTGAGACCTATGCTGACCGTGTGGGTCCTGCACCGCTTGCCAGAGCCCCTTGCTCCACCCCATGTTTGGGATGGGAGGCAGCTTGAGCCATTAGCCTGACCCTGAGCCACACTAATGCCTATCCTCTAGGAAAATATGTATTTTAAATGAGGTTCTCTGAGTACACCCTCATTCCTTCAGCTGCTTTAATGAGTTTATTCAACTCACATTGCCTCCAAATACACAGCCCCACACACTAAATTATTTGTATTTGGCAGCCTCTGCAGAGAACACTCCCTGACCATTTTGCTGGCAGTACCTTGAACTTGCACTACCTTCGAACAGCATCTCAGGATGCTAATGGGTGAGCTGCTGTTCCCTTCTTTTCTTCTACCAAAGCCCCTTGCAAGCCTGTCTAGTAATAGAAAATTCCAGGAAAACAGTAATATTGGATCTGACTACTGAGAAAATGTCTCCCAAAGCTCTTTTACAGCCTTGAACCATATGCAGGACAGCATTAGGATACACAGATTTTTAAGGAGGTTGAAAGCAATCTTTTTTTAATTACAACATAACCTTTCCCTTCCTTTTTGCTTGTTGATAATTCCTAAAATTACCCCAACTGAACAGCCGCAAGAATTTTTGCTTTTTGTGTGCGTGTGCAAAAGCAACATTTTATATAAACAAGAAAATTTGATGCTTATGCTCCCTTTGAGGAAACTGGTCACACAGGAAGTCCTCCCCTCTTCCCTTCGTCGAAAACATTTATAAAATCCACTGGAAGTGAAGACTTAAGGCACATGTAATGCTTCAGCTTACAAAACAGCAATGCTCGTGTAGGACACCCAGTTAAAAGCAGCTTGTCAACTTTGGAGCCTATATAAAAATAACCGTTTGCTTGCTTTTAATAGCGTGAAATCAGGATCTGTGTCATTTTGTCAGGGCTCCAAAATACATCTTACAATCCACAATGCATTTGGCTGTACCACTTTACTGTGGTCAACATAAAATTAAACCTAACTGACAGTATAAATGGATCCATTGGGACTGCTGGGGTTGAAAGACAGACAAGCAACTTTCCAGCCAGGGAAATGAAATGGTACTGTAAGTACCATATTATTGCAATGACAGTTTCTGTACTTCAGATGTAAGTGCAATGAAATTATGCTCTGGGGGAGTGGTGGAAACACAGCTGGGGGGGTTGGTGCTGGATGCGGGTAAGAGCCAAGTGTGAAAGAGGATGCCAATCTCCTGCTTACTGGTGAAGTGCCATGCTGCCCAGTGACCTGCAGCAAGCAGGATCAACTCCTGGCCATCAACATCAGCTGAAACCATGGTCCAAGCCCACACCACCAACCAGCTACTCGTGTAAGCATGTGGCATCTTGTCACTGCAGTGGGGAGTCCCCACTCTGAGAGCAAAGCCATGCTAGTCCCTGGTGCAGTGGGTGTAAACAGCTGACACCTTTTCACGTCTGCTTGCGGGATAAAACGAGTCTTCCCCCCACCTCCATCAGCTCCACGTTCACTCCAAAAACCCCAACACCACTTTTTTCTTTGCAAGTGCACCCCCAGCACTTGGGGTACTTCCTAAATAGCTGAACAGCAGCCTCTAGAGGGCTCAGCCGCAACTGCTCATGTCCCCATGCTGCTATCTCAGAGGCTGTACCACAATGGCAGTGCTTTTCCCCAGCCTGTGACAGTGAGACCAAGCCCGCAGCATGCACCCCTCCATCAGGGAGATGGCCAGAGCACTACCACACTTCATGGCATGTACCACCATGTAAAAACATACACCCCCAGCACCCCCAGGCCAACCAGCT